GCCATTTCTGATGAGCATTTACGCCCTACACATGGTGATCTGAGCGATCTTGAAACTAGCCGCCCTGCTCCTGTTCTCGATTTGGCAAATTCTGAATGCGAGTCTGACGATGAGGAAGAGTTGCCGGATAGAGAGAGCAACACTGGTTCACCCCTCCACGAGAGTGAACTTGCGATGCATAGACTCCTGGAGCTGAGGCGTGCACAAGCCTTGACCGATCGTATAGAGCCCCCTCCACATGATATCGCGGGCTTCACATCAGTTCTCGGCGAAAGGCTAGTTTCTAGTGCGACTAGATTCCATACCGATATAATTCCTCGAAGTGATAAAAGAAGAATTTTGATGTGCGCGCGGAAAGTCGTCGGAGGAATGGCCTTCGTTCACGAGATGCCAATGGCGGGGTCAGGAATATTGAGGTAGGAAATGAGACAGATGCGAGCAGTGTTGGAGTAGGAATATTGTTCGCTCTACACCCCGAAGCTCAGGAGTTTTCTCGCTACTTGGAGTAAAAATTGCTCGAAAAAAAATTCCTTTCAGAATTTTCATATTGTCATTCACCCTTTTTCACCCACTCGGTGCAAAACTCGATATTCGCGGTGATATGCAGTAGTCGTGAACTACGTTTTTCACATCACTAGTGATATTCTAATAGTAAAATATATGTTTGGTTTCGAATAGAATGTCAGAAACTCTCTGTCGGCGCCATTCCGGTAGAAGTGTACAAAAAGCAACAAGACTCCCCTTATCATCATCAACTACCGCAGTTCTCGATCGTATTCATCGATCAGGACACCGCCACTACGAAGTTGTATCGATTCGCCCGACAGTTGGATCGGCTTCACACCAACCATAGATGTCGCATCCAGTACGCGAAGCATAGCTCTTCTCATCCTAGTATTTCCCTCGAGGTCCGCACACTGGTAGTCCGACCAAGGCTTCCTCATCACGAGTGCATCGATTTCCACGGTGAGCATCATATCTACTTTGCCATTCATGTGGTATTCTCTCAGGCCCGATCACAACCAGCGTAAACGGGTCGTGTCGTCGAGTCAGAGTTAACGTCCACTCATGCATTATGAGCATTCCAACCCAAATTCTGTTATTCGCTGTTTACTACTGTTTGCCCTTGTTATTGTAAAACGCTGTTGTGAGAGGGATAAACTGTTGGGTTCGCTTACGGGCCGAGCTAGTAAGCCTTTGAGGTGGCCTCTCGTTATCAAGCAGTTCAGGTCATCATTACTATCACTATTATCATCTGAACTCAATTCTGTTATTGAGTAGTGTCACCATCATCATCAGTTTTAACCTAAATTCTGTCAACGGTTGTTTACTTCTGTTTGCGGCAAACAGTTCACCCTTGTTATTTTACAACGTTGTTGTTAGAGGAATAAGCTGTTGAGTTCGTAAACTGCAGAGTGGTACAAAAAAAGAGCCCACCCCTCGTAATTTCGCGGCAAGTGTAGTGACAAGCTTACCGTAATTTGTGTAATTTTCCGAGCTAGGCTATGCATTTGCCCCTCCTCGCCAAATGGCATCATTATAATGTATTGCGATATTGCACCAGATCAGTATTTATTCCTTATCCCTGTTACTGGCTGCATCATGATTTTGTTAAGAGATGAATCACAACACAGTGAACAACAAAGATATCCAAGCCCTCATCGAGCTCTCCCCAACGCTGTATGAACGGTTCTGATATCCGTATTGTGCACTGAGGTATCGTCGGTTACATAGGGAATATCCAGCTTGTTGCACTGGAATGTATTTTCATTCTTGGTGAAAATGGCATGGACCTATCTTCTCGAAATAACTACATCCAGTTAGTTCATTCTGCTACTAATAAGCCCATTGACATAACATTAGTGAGGTTGCGATGAGGACGACGGCGGCAAACGCGAGGCAGAGGAGAAGTATGGAAACTTGAGCCAAGATGGCTACAGTTAGTGACAAATGAACTATAGCTACCTCCAAGTAATCATTTTCTGTGGGGTGGCTGCGTACTACTAGAGAAAGCGCACGCCCTAAACCCTCACAGCTTTACTGTACATAGTACCAGGCTTAGAATTCCTTACAAGGCTGCACCCTGATGATACTCAATCGATGAAGACTCTCTTCATCATAACCTTAGCTCAAGGCTTCCTTCACCCAGCATCTTGAAATTTCGATTCGCGATGAGAGCAGGAACGAGATAATCACCGCTAGTGCACACAGTGAATTGATTTTTCAAGTACAATGGAGTTTCTTGACCCTAGTGATATGAAAAACACTAGTGAAAAACATATTTCACGACTACTGCATATCACCGTGAATATCGCGTTTTCCACCGAGTTTTCCACCACTTCACGTAAAACGGGTGAAACTCCAATATAGTGTATTAATAATAACAATAGCGCGATAGTATATAATAATGGAGTTTCACCCGTTTTACGCGAAGTGAAATGTGAAATGTGTTTTTCACTAGTGTTTTTCACATCACTAGGGTGAAACCCCAATATATAGTGTTTAATATATGTATATATGTGTTTTATATATCTTTAATTTTTTAAAATACAATAATATATATGTGTTTTTTCACTAGTGCTATTCATCTCACGGGTGAAACTCCATAGTTTTTCACAAATCCAATTTTTTCCACAGTTCCCTCACACTCTTTCTGTGACTGATTCTGCATCCACATATGGTACCCGTTATGCTCACCTATCCAGAATTGTAGTT